AGAAGGTTATGTTTTTGGTAGTGTTGGTTAGTTTGTTGGATTTTTTGTTAGCAGGATAAATTAGATTTTTTTTTTTTTTTTTTTTTTTTTTTTTTTTTTTTTTTTTACCAGTTGTGTCTCAGCCCAACTTAGATTTCGGTTCATGATCCGAATCCAGGACTTTCTTTAAAAGGACTCATTAGCATTGCGAGATAGGGGTAACTTTAACTTTTTGGTGCTTAGATTATTCTTAGTGACCCCATTGCCTTGGCGGAGGTATGCGCGCTCTGAGTGCTTTTAGATATTATGATTGTTGTGGTTGTTGTTCTTGTCATCATTATCATATGTTTTTATTATCATTATTATTATTACCATCATCATCATCAACATTATTGCTATTAATAATTTCATTATGATTATTGCTGAAGCTGTCCTTGTTATAATTTTCATTATCATCATCATCATTGTTATTATTTATTATAGTACTGTTATAATCACTACATTTATCATCATCACTAGTAGTAGTGGTAGTAGTAATAGTAGTAATATTATCATCATTATCATTATTATTACAACTATCATTATAAGAGTAATAATGATAAAAACGGTAATATTAACAGTAACAGATGTAATGACAATAAAAAAAAAAAAATTCCAACAAAAGGTGACCGTTGCAGGCCCTTGCTGCGCTGGCGTCGTCGGACTCACGATGCCTCGCTACTGCCTCTTCGGGGACACCGTCAACACCGCCAGCAGGATGGAGTCCACTGGTGAGAGACGGAGGGAGAGGGAGGGAGGGAAGGAGAAGGGAGGAGGGAGGGAAGGAGAAGGAGGAGGAGAGAGTGAGGAGGAGGAGAGGAGAAGGGAGAGGAGGGGAGGGAAGGAGAGAAGGAGGAGGAGAGGAGAAGGGAGAGGGAGGAGGGGAAGGAGGAAGGGGAGGAGAGGGAATGAGGGAAGGAGAAGGGAGGAGGGAGGGAAGGAGAGGGAAGGAGAGGAGAGGGAGGAGGGGAGGAGGAAAAGAGGGAAGGAGAAGGGAGAGGGAGTGAGGAAAAGAGAAAGAAGAGATAGAAGGAAGGAGGGAAAGAGGGAATTCCCTGCCCCTCTCCCATTCACACCCTCTCGATAGTCAATTAATTACATATGACAAGTTGGTTGATAGCTAATGAACTGACATGAAACAAAAAAAAAACGCACCATGTGATTTCTCACGCCTTGCTATATTACCAAGCCACGTATTCCAAAAGAGAGCTATACGAACAATTGTTAGGCTGAGACGGAGGGACCATGCTAATGAGGCTTTCTACAATTCACGGCCCTCAAAATTACCAGATATTAGAACCCTTCCATGGCCAATTTGTGTCTGCAAATATTTATGAAAACTATTTTCCTTATGATATAAACAACAGCTGCCCTAGTAGGAGGGTATGCGATGTCCGTATTGCTCTTGTGGAATCGTCTGTCTCATTCGCATTGTCAGATATCCTGCCTTCAAAGTTTTCAGTCATTTACTGTTGCAATCAGGTGTATTTATACTTATGCTTTTTGAAATCTAGGATTTGCAAAACAATTTTCTAACTGCTTATAATTTGTAATGAAGTTGATTGTGGGATTTTTCCTTATTCAGGTTTCAATATCAATTAATCAGTTTTTAATATTTGTTGTTTTGGTGCTACGTATTTCATTGTATATACCCATGTTTTTTGTTTTCTATTGTGATATCTTATTTCACTATTTTTCTTACTGGTTCAAACAACAATAAGTGTGCTTTATATGAAACACACTTTATTAAACGATTCTTCCTCATCTCAAGTTTCGTTCCTGCACTTTCTTTTCCCCTTTCATTCATTCTCTTAATACTTTCTCTCCACCTTTTATGCATAAACATCCGATCTTTAACCCCCCATGACCTTTCCGAACACTAATCCACCCATTCAAGAACCCGACCAGCAACGACCCATCACCAAGCATCAGACGAAGTGACGTCTCCCTCTCGCCCCCAACCCGCAGGCTCGGCTTGGCGGATCCACGTGAGCGAGAGGACGAGCGCGGCGCTGCGGGAGTCGGGCGGCGCCTACCACCTCGAGTACCGCGGCCTCACCAAGCTCAAGGGCAAGGGGGAGATGCCCACCTACTGGCTCCTGGGCAAGGACGACTTCCGGAAGGAGCTGCCCACGCCGCCGGAGATCGGGTGAGGGGCAGGGCAGTGGGTTGGGGGGAGCAGGGGGAGGGAGGGAGGGAGGGAGACGTGGGTGGGAGGCAAGGAAGGGGAAAAGGGATAAGGGTTTAAGGGGGGGGGGGATTTTGAAGGAGGAGGAAGGGAGGGGAAGGGAGGGGAAGATAAGGGTAAGAGGTGGGGAGGAGAGGTGCGGGTGGGTAGATATGGGTGAGGGAAGGTGGGTGAGGGAGGGTGAGGAGAGGCGGGAGGGAAGGGAAAAGCAGGAAGGAGGGAAATGAGGAGAGTTCTCTAACGTGGAGAAGAAGAGGGCAAGAGTGAAGGGCAATAACAGGACAGAAAGGGGTGGATGATAAAAAGGAGAAACAGAGGAAGGGGGAAGGATGCGATAAAAATGAGAATGGAAGCAAGGCAGCTAAAATAAAGGTGAAAGAGTAGGAGAGAGAGCAAAGAAACTAATAATGAGAAGCAGAAACAGAAAAAGGAAACGAGGGAAAAGGGGAAAGGGTAAAAATGGAAGGAAGTGAAGGGGAGGCAAACAGGGACGAGAGGAAGAGGAAGAAATAGGAGAGAAACGAAAATGCAAGAGAAAGAGAGAGGAAAAAGGAGGCGGTAAATAAGGCACAGGTGGACAAAGAACAAATAGGTATTACTCTATATTCTATTTTTGAAATTCATGAAAACTTTTTAGCCATACTAATCCTGGAGAGATAAATATAGCCATTTATTTCATGGACATTTCATGGCATGCTTGACCTTAATTGACCCCGAGCTTTTCTCGTATTTATTATTTTTGTTTATCATATTTAATATCCTAATGATATTCAGATTTCTCAAGCGAGGTCGTGAATATTAAATGGTACTCTAGCTAAATATTTAATGGATAAATACGTTCATATAAACGTATATAAATAAATGCACATGTTTATATTTACATAAAATCATAGCGGTACAGAATGATTTTGAATATATTCAACTCACCGAAGTCAATACCACGTCGTAGGACTCGGACACGTTGGAGATTCTTTCAGGGATGATCTTATCCTCAAAGAGTGTGTTCGAAATGTTAGGTTCATCTTTAAATCAGATTGTGATAGTTCCCTTTTTCATTGTGTGCATGTTATTGTGTTTGTGCTGATATATATTATATATATATATATATATATATATATATATATATATATATATATATATATATATATATATATATATATATTATATATATATATATATATATATATATATATATATATATATATATATATACAATATATATATATATATATATATATATATATATATAATATATATATATATATATATATGTGTGTTGTGTGTGTGTGTGTGTGTGTGTGTGTGTGTGTGTGTGTGTGTGTGTGTGTGTGTGTGTGTGTGTGTGTGTGTGTGTGTGTGTGTGTGTGTGTGTGGTTGTGTATATATATATATATATATATATATATATATATATATATATATATATATATATATATATATATATATATATATATATATATATTATATATATATATATATAAATATATATATATATATATATATATATATATATATATATATATATATACCTACATAATGTATGTATACTAACTTCAAACTCTTTTCCAATCGTGCCCGGATCAGTATACACACAGGTAAGTAGTAAACACAAGTATTTATAAACTGCCTTTTATTTTATTTTTTATTCCGAAGAGAGAATCACCTTCCGAATATAGATAAGATTTTATTTAACTCATTAAAGTTTGAGGCCGATGATATAATTAATTAACCTACACATAAACACATCCATATATCTGGCTCTCTAAAATCCGCCTTTGGTGAGACAGGCTAAAGCTTATATAACGTTAAATATTTGTTTCTGTAAAACTTTTTTATCTTTACATACATTTGTATTTCACTAACGTCCAGAAGGTATACTTCTATCAAGCTGTATCTATTTGTGTCTATACCTGTCAAGAAGATACCCAAAAGATACCCAGCGGCCGCCTGTCTCCCCTCGAGCCATTCCCCCCCCCCCCCCCCCCAGCCCAGCCTCACCCCCCTCTCCCGCAGGCTGGACGAGGAGCTGGTCCGCCTCGGGCGACAGCACTACATGGCGCGGCGCGACTCCACGGCGGACGCCCTCGCCTGCTCCGTCAAGGGCTTCAGCTCCATCCAGGCGGCCAGGATGCAGAGCGACGTGGACGGCGACCCCTCCTGCAGCGGGGATCCGCCCCTGGAGGAGGCCCGCGAGGACGAGGCCGCCGGCGAGGCCTCCTCGACGGCGGAAGGGGCGCAGGAGGAGGAGCAGCAGGGGCCGGAGTGGCCCGCGGAGGTCTTCCTAGAGCCTCACGAAGGAGGCGTCCCAACGGTCTCTTGTTCTGCGCTGCCCTCCTACGTCTCGCCTCCTGCTGGGCACGGCAGGAGGAGGGAGGGCAACGGCGACATCCCCCGCGGGCGGGGCGGCAAGGGCGGCGTGGAGGCCGGCACGTGCGTGGTGGTGCTGGAGGCGCGGGGCGAGCGGCGGCCGAGCGACGCGCCCCCCGCGGGGCCCTCTGACGCCGTCGGCGCCGGCAGGAGCAGGCATCAGGCTGCAGCGCCAAGGTGGGCGGTGGTCGCGGCGTCAGCGCAGCCTGCGGTGCCGGCGCCGGTGCCAAAGGAGGAGGCCCCGTGCCGAGTGCGCAGCGCCTCGCTCAAGGGCCGCGACTGCCCGGCGCCGCGGGGCCCGCAGGCCAGGGAGCGCCGCGACAGCCAGGGGCGGGGCGTCGGGCCACTCCGCGCGCGCCGCCCACCGCTCGCCGTCGCTCCCCGCCGCCGCCGTCTGGAGAACCACGTGAGCTGCGCGGGCGCGGCGGCGGAGCAGCAGACGCGGCGACAGGAGCCGGTGCCGGCGCCGCGGGCGCGAGGGGGGTCGGCGCCCCTGCCGCGCCCTCGTGAAGACCAACAGCGCGGGGCGGTGCGGGCGCGCGCGAGCTCGCAGGAGAGGAGGCGGTGTCAGGCGGAGGAGGCCCTCCCGAGGGCGTCCTCCGCGGGCCCCTCCCGCACCTCCCCTCCCCCCCTCATCTGCCACAACAAGGTGTACCCCAACGGGCGGCCCCCCCGCGCAGCCGCCGCCCACGCGCCAGGGCATGGATTCGTGGGGCGGGCGCCGCAGCGCCGTGCACCGCGGGCGCCGCCCCCGACCGGCGTCGGGCAGCGGGCGCCCGTCGTCCCTTAGGGGCGTGACCGCCGAGTGCGAGGTCCACCCCCCGCAGCCCCCCCACCTCTCGCACCCCCTGGACGCCCCCTCGCCCACCGAGTCCACCATGTTGTGACCCACGCCGCGGCGCCGCGCTGCCGGGCACGCCCGCGGCAGCGCCCACCCAACGCCACAGCGGCTCTGGCTCACCTGCTCTCTCGGCCTAGGTTGCACACAGAAGCAACAGTCACCTCTCTCTCTCTCTCTCTCTCTCTCTCTCTCTCTCTCTCTCTCTCTCTCTCTCTCTCTCTCTCTCTCTCTCTCTCTCTCTCTCTCTCTCTCTCTCTCTCTCTCTCTCTCTCTCTCCTAAAATGAGATAAACAAAGGTTTATTTTCTAGTGCTACAGCTACTTAATTTCCCTTCCTCTCTTTATACTCTCTATCTGTCTATCTCATAATAACAATAAGGAAAAAAACAGAGAGAGAAAAAGAAACCAGAAGAGAGACAGAGAGAGATGGAGACAGAGAGAAAGAGAAGGAAGAGCGAGAACGAGAAACAGAGAGAAAGAGAAACAGGGAGAGAGAGAGAGAGAGAAGAGACAAAGCCAACAATCTCCTTTGCCATTCCACTTTCTCAGCCGTGGATTCCAACTGCCTAATGAACACTTCCTTCCATGTAATAAAGTTATTTCTTAGGATGTGTCTCCGTCTTCGGGCTAAAGAACCATAAAAAAAGAAAAAAGAAAACTGAATAACTCTATGTTGATTTCTGTGATATAAGATCATAAGAGAAAGAAACAGAATAATCAAAAAGAAAGTGCCGAAGAAAAACGTGATCTATGTGTAAGAAAAAGAGGAATAATAACGGGTTTATTGCCCAGAAGAAGGAAACTTGATTCTACAAGCTGTATAAACATACGTACATACATACATGTACATGTATATATATATATATATATATATATATATATATATATATATATATATATATATATATATATATATATATATATATATATATATATATATATATATATATTATATATATATATATATATATATATATATATATTATATATATATATATATATATATATATATATATATATATATATATATATATATATTATATATATATGTATATATATATATATATATTATATATTATATATATATATATATATATATATATATATATATATATATATATATATATATATATATATATATATATATCATATATATATATGTATATATATATATTATATATATATATATATATATATATATATATATATTATATTATATATATATATATATATATATATATATATATATATATATATATATATGCATTTATTTATTTATCTATTTAATTATTCATTTGTATGTATATATACATTCTACATGAATACACATTCAGAAACCAGAATAACACTCACTAAGAGAAAACGGGAAACGCTTCTAACATTTATAATAAACCAAACATCTCTCCCAGAAGATGACACCTCAACTGCAACTGACATTGTATGAAAGATGGAACAGAGTATACTTTTGTAATGCAAAACAACCCAGAAATGTGTGTCTGTCTATCGTGTATGAATTTCCGTAATCTGGTCAAGGAATTACGGTAGATGAATATTGTAATGAACTCTTTTTGTCGTTGATATCTGTGGCTATTAATTTCATGATGGTCATCAACATAAGGAGAGAAATGTCAGGTTCATTTATTGCTCTGTTGCTATAGGATTTTTATTATTGTTTTATCTATTTTTTTATTCTTGTTTGTCCCTTCTATTTCCAGTTTCTGTTTGATCTTCCTTTACATTTACTCTCCCTTTGACCAGACTAACGCACAACTTTTATATCTCCTCTGGCTCTATATTTTTTCTTTTCTTTTCTTTTCTTTCTTTCTTCCCTGTAAAGAAAATAAGCACATCGCGTTGGAGTATAATCAAATATATATATATATATATATAAACAAATAAACAAAAAATTATCATCATCACCATCATCATTATTACTTTTATCAATATCCTTATCATGATTTTCAGTATTATTATCCTCGTCCGAAGCCCACCTATTTTGATAATATTTACGTCGTCTTCAAACGGGACGATGCCTCCCTTCGGCCCGGTTTCCCTTGACCATCACTGAGGTACAATTGACTGCGTGTGGAATGTCATATCAAACATCCCCTGTAGATATATGTATATACATGTGTGAATGTGTGTTCGATTTCACGTTTTAGAAACACATGTTTAGGTACTGTTGTCTGGATAGGACTAAATTTAGAGATAAGAGAGAGAGTTTAAAAAAAAACAACCGCAAAAAGAAGTTAGAACAAAAAATAATAATGAATAAATAGCACACTGTTTTAGACAAAAAAATAAGATCAAATCGCCAAACACAATTAAGATATAATTATACATTTTAACCCCCCCAACCCCCCACTTCTTCACATCCGGATGAAATTAAAGAGAATATTTAGATTTTTTTTCTCACTGTATAGAGATACAATCTAAATAGTGTAGGACCAGAAACTGTACTGGGAATGGATGTAGGTAAAAATATTTTGTGTAGTTTTAGCATTTTCCAGTGTCGCTAAGCCTATTCCTGGCTTCTTTCCTTTTCCCTCTCTTTATCAGTCTGTCTATCTATCTGTCTTTCTGTCTGTTTATCTCTATCCCTCTGTTCCTCTGTCTGTTTCTCTCTCTCTCTCTCTCTCTCTCTCTCTCTCTCTCTCTCTCTCTCTCTCTCTCTCTCTCTCTCTCTCTCTCTCTCTCTCTCTCTCTCTCTCTCTCTCTCTCTCTCTCTCTCTCTCTCTCTCTCTCTCTCGCTCCTCACTGTTTTTTATTCTATTTTTGTTTCATGTTTTGCCTTTTCTCTTATCTTCATTCCTCTTTTTGCTTATATTCTTCTCCCAACCTCAAAGTTTCCCTTCTTTCATTCTTCTTTTTCATTTCTTTTTTCCCTTCTCCTCCTTCCCAAAGTCCTCTTTCTCCTCCTCTCTCCTCCACCATCCCTTTGAACCTATCCTTCCTCTTCATTCATTTCTCCAACTCGTCCTCTTCCTCTTCTCTCTCTTCCCATCTCTTTCTCGTCTACTCGCTCTTCCTTTCCATTTCTTCCTCATCCCTCATCCTCTCATCCTTCCATTTCTTCTTTCCGTACTTCCTCTTTCTCTTCTCTCTCCCTACCTCTTCTTGTTCCTTTCTATCTGTTTCTTATCCTTTTCCTCCTCTTCTCTATTTCCTCTTGGTCCGCCTTTATCTTTTTCTCGCTCTCCTCCTTTCTCTTTCCATCTTCTTATCTTCTGTTCCTCCTCCTACTGGTCTTTTCCCTCTTCTTCTCTATCTAGTCCTCTTCCTCTTCCTCTTCCTCGTATTCTCTTTCTCACCATCTTCCTCGTCCTCTTCATTTCCCTCTTTATCTCATCTTCTCCCCCCTTTCTCCTTCTTCCTTCCCCCTTCCCTCTTCCTCTTTATCACCTTGTCCTCGTCTCGGTCTCCCATATAATCAACAAAGTCTGTGATCTGAACACAATAATATTTTCTTAAGAACTAAATATTGTATGAAGAGTTTGTGTTTAATAAAATGAAGTGTGTTAAAGTTTGGTTTTCTTTGCGATCCTCTCGTGTGTGTGTGTGTGTGTGTGTGTGTGTGTGTGTGTGTGTGTGTGTGTGTGTGTGTGTGTGTGTGTTGTGTGTGTGTTGTGTGCGTGTGTTGTGTGTGTGTGTGGTGTGTGTTGTGGTGTGTGTGTGTCTGTGGGTGTGTGTGTGTGTGTGCTGTGTGTGTGTTTGGAATTTATCTACATAGATAAATACAAAATTTATAATGCAGATGGTTCGGTTTGAGTAGAATAAGATAAAAGCCGATGGTTCGATAGATTATAGCGCAAAATGATGAATATGAAGATTTGATTGATAATGAGTATACGCTAATGATATATAATCGAAATAATATATAGATCGAAATAAAAGCGATAATAAATACTCATATTCAGAGAAACAAATATAAATATGATTATACAATCCATTGCTTATGCTTTTATGATATGGCAATGAGAAAGAGGAAATGTGGGTAGATAAATTAGAATATTATGAAACAATGAAAGAGGCGAGAATATAAAAGTACAAAAGATATAGATAGATAGATGGATGTGTAGCCGGATCCATCCAAATACGTAAACAGATTAAGAGACTGGAGAAAGAAATATACATAAAGATATATACGTATAAGTAGATAGATAAACATGCTGATAGACTCATTGGTAGCAGGATGTAGTTACGTAGATAGATATAGGATGCTGCAAATACGGAAATACGTATATCTGTAGGCAGGATTATTTTTTTTTTTTGTGTCAATTACTTAGGTGACATACGGTCGACATTCCTGTGACACACAAGCACCCGCATCTCGCAGGCAGATCCTCTTAAATGGATGAAACTTTGTACATTACAGGAGTTAACATCCGTCAAAGGGTATATGTAGAACGCCTTTGAATAGAGATATAAAAAAAAAAGAAAAAAGGAAAGAAAAATGAAAAAAAAGAAAAAGAAACATAAAAAAATGAAAAAAAAGAAAAAGGCAAAAAGAAATAAAACAACATAAAAAATAAAAGAATAGAAAAAATAATAAAAGAAAGAAAGAAAAAAACATATAAACAAAAAATAGAAAAAATGAAAAAAGAAAAAAAAGTCTGTAGCAACACGCACCTCACAGAAGGGCACTCCGGTCAATCATTCAGAAGGTTGCTGCCTTTAGGACAATCTGGACATGCACTCAGTCCGCAGGTGGGAGAAGCACGGCGTTTTCCCCTCCTGCACAACCCCGCTCTAACCTCTTTGGCGCAGACACAACATCACGACTTCGAATCTTAAATACGCGTCGACGAAGGTTGTGAGAGCCCTGAGTGTGAGTTCTGATGTTGTGAGAATAACTGAGACGATGAAGACACTAAGAAAGTGACATTTAGTATCTATTCTCTTATCAAAGGAAAGAATATTCAGCTCGAGATGCTTATCATTTGGGAGGAA